AACTTGGGCCAGTGAAGCAACGTCCTCCACAACTAGACTGAAGAACAAAAGGACAGCAACTTGTCTGTTCCCCTTCCCCCAATTCCCCAGCACTGTTCCATCCCCCCAATTCCCCAATAAAAATAAAAAAATAAAAAATAAAAAAATAATAAAAATAAAAAAAGTATTAGTGGAGCACTGACTTTAAAAGTAAGAACACTCAACAAAAAACCTCACAATTCCCCATTCCCAGAGGTCCTGTTCTCCTTCCCATCCATGTCAGCAAACCTCTTCTACCTCAGGGGTTCCTAGAAGTTCTGCACAGAGCAGTCAGGCTCTCAGAACTCAAGCCAGCACTATATTCCATGGTCACATGACAACTCCCCTTTGTTCTGTTCCATTTCTATAACATTCTTAACATCTTTCCATTTTCCAACTAAAGGTTCTTCTTTCATTCCCACTCATGTAACTTGTCTTCTTGTCCACTCATCTATGTCAATTTTGGCCTTCACATATTAAGCCATAACTAAAATAATATTAAATGTTACTCCTAAAAATATAAACAAGGATTCAAGTATCATCATTTAATCTAGTTGAGTGGTCCCTTACCCCTTGAAGCTCTATTATGAATCCACTTTTGTTTCTTAGGGTATTATGAAAGTTTTTAGACAGAACAGACTTTTAAAAAATTTTTAATGGTATTTTAATATTTCTCTGTCTCTGTCTCACACACACACACACACACACACACACACACACACACACACAAAATGTACTACATCAAACCCATAATTACTGTTACTTAGGGTAAAGCTAAGAAGTAAGACTTTAAAAACACTAATAATCTACTTCAGCATGCACAGAGAACCTGTATGTCTCCACCTGGCCATGTGTCTCAAGTGTCAATGGAATCTACAGATGGGGGTGTTTAGCTAAATGCCTCAAAACCAGCCTCTAAGGGATGAGTAAGCTTCATATTGTGAACACCTCACTCAAACTAACATTTTCACAATATCTGGAATGAATACAAAGTGAAATCGTGACATTTGCAAAAAACAGTCTATCTAGCTCTGAAATGCCAAGATGACTGGGATAAACTGCAAAAATAATCTCAGAGTGCTGTGAATGGGCAGAAAGATGGCTATGAACTACAATTCTCTTGTTAATTGATTGGTAAGCTCTTCAAAAGTAGAAACTTTTTGCTGTTTCTTCCACACAATATGGCACAGGGCTAGGCCCATTCTAGACATTTAATAAATAAATACTAAAATACTTTAACATAGCAGCTAATAAGTTCATAATTGTAATAATCCATAAACAAAATATTCAAAAAGGCTCAAACGAAATCACAAATGATATGTTTTCAGTTGCAGTCTCTCCAGTCTGACTTTTTTTTTTAACATTTTTATTGGGGAATTGGGGGATGGGAACAGTGCTGGGGAATTGGGGAAAGGGGAACAGACAAGTTGCTGTCTTTTTATTCTTCAGTCTAGTTGTGGAGGACGCTTGCTTCACTGGCCCAAGTTGGCACCATCATTGCGCTCTTCCCGGGCGAGGCAGATCAGTCACAGGCTTCTGGACGGCCGCTCACGGTGGCTGCTGGCCGCTCACGCTGGCTGCTGGCTACATACGGTAGCCCATGGCAACCCACTGCAGCAGGGGTTGCAGCCTACGCTATCACTGGCGACTCATGGCAGCCCAGCTCCAGGTTGAGCTGTTGTTCAGCATCTTAGCTGTAGAGGGCAGCGTCACTGGCCCTCATCGTGGGATCCGAACCGGGGCTCTCTGGCATCCCAAACCAGTTCTTAACCAACGTGCCACTTGGCCGGCCCCAGTATGACTCTTGATATTTTACACAAGGATCATCAAAATCTGGCCTCCACCTCTCTCCAGTCTCCCACAATCTCCTTCTTAATCTCCCCGGCTTGAATCCCTTCCTGCAACTGCCCTGAAACACTTATCATCGCAAGTGCACCATCTTGCTGCCCCTCTTCTTCAATTCCTACCATCCTTTAAAGATGTCTGGCTGTGAAAATTTCCCTAATTCCCCCAGGCAAAGCTAAGCACTTCCAGTTCCTGTGCCCCTCCTCAGTAGCCCCCCAAAAATTGTATAATCCTAAATGGCACAGCATCTGCAATTAATCATTGATATAGCTATTTCTCCACCCCTCACGCCAACTAGACTGTCCTCCTCTACAGTAGAAACAGTATGCTATTCATCTCTGTATACCCAATACCTACCACAGAGCCTGGCACACAGTAGGTGTTCAATAAATGTTTGCTCACTGAACCCCTTGATTTCACTGGCCAGTGCAGATTACTGGGCAAGGAGAGCCAGTAATATAGGCTCAATGCTACATTTCTAGTCATTTCAGATTCTTTTAATTACAACCTCAAAATACTTTTTTCTTTGATGGTTAAGAAACATAGCAATAAGCACAACTTTTCCAAATGCTTTAGAAAACTGTTTTCTCACCACTATTCTCCTCATCCAAATAGGCCTTAGCAAGCCCCTTACAGCACTGTTCCCAGCAGCTGTTTTTGCAGAGATTCATATCTCAATCGATGCATGTGCCTATACAACTGGAATGGTGCTGGAAGTTCAGGGGTCATTCCGCTTCACTCCTCCTCTGGGTATAGAAAAGGCTGTGGGAATGCAGTGAGCTACAGAAAGGACACAGAAGCCAGTGGGGGAAAGTAAACATAAATCGGGTTGCCATCTTTGGTCAACATGAAAAACACTGTCTTCTTAGTGTCTAGAGAGATGGTACCGGAGATTAACCATCACCTGTGGGCTATCATTTCATTAAAATGTAATACTCTAAAATATTTCCCTCTCATCTAAAGAAAAAGCCTTTATTATTTAAACCTAAAAATGAATCAATCAAATTTCAACAATGCCTTAGTCATCCTCAAGAAATGATTTTTAAATCAGGTTTTAACCAAGCAGTTTTCAATCACCAAAACTAGAGATACATATTTTTATGCTTGGACATTTACCTCAAAAGAAAATGTCAGAATAGCTTATGTACTGGCAGAAGTCAATAAAAACAATTGCAATCAATGAAGCAAAATCTTTATGGGTTGTAAGCTGTAAAATATTTATAATCTTTCAGCACATAAAAGAGGACGTCAAATCTACAAATCTGGTTCAACATCATCATACCTAAAAATATGTACAATTAAACCCAAAGGGCAAATTTTAACTATATGATAATATGAATTTCTGAACTCCCCACCTCAAATAACAGTCAATTATCAATCTTCCCCACAATATCACAGGATAACATGTAATGTAACAACGGCACCATCTCCTACACCCGGTCCAGTACCATTTTTGAAGTCAACATATCTACCCCCCAGCAATGTGGAAGAGTCAGAATCATGTCTGGGGATGTCTGTGTAACAATCCCTCGAGAGGCTGGAACTGCTGCTAGTTCTAAAGACTTATTTTGACATTAAGGCCCCAGCTACCTACTAAGGGCTTTATCATTTGAAGGGGTAAAAACTGGTTGGCCAAATAACTCTTCGGAAGTCTTCAATGTTAATTGCTAACCTCGTTCATGTCTGATCTCGGTTACAACCTCCGAACCGATAAAGGTAAAACTTGAAAAGGCAGCCACCTCCTCTGTCATGCTCGTTCACAGACCAAAGAATACCTATTAGACATCAAGATAGAGGGTGTGGCTATTTACCTAGAGAGGGAATAAGACGTAGGGGCTGGTGAGGATGAACACCAAAGCATGCGATGGAGTACCAGTCCTGGACGATGAAGTGGGCATTAATGGGACAGGAGGGGGTACAAAAAGGGAGAAGTGATACCTCCATGAAGAGAGTGAAGGAGGGTAGGATTCGTGAAGTGGCAGGTCCGCGAGCGTGGGAGTGGAGGCTGGAGTTGGGTTGTACCTACCCGTCGAAGCGGACGGTGCCAGTCTGCTGAGTCTGCACCCGGTAATGTTCTAACAGCAAGCGCACCACCTTGGCGTGGCCATTGCGGGCTGCGATGATGAGGGGCGTGGAGCGCTGCCCTCCCTGCTGACTGACATAGCCGAGCAGATAGCGGATGTCGCTTTCAGACCGGTTCAGAAGCAAGGCGGCCAGGGTCAGCACCTTGCCCTCGCTGGCCGCCTTGTATACATAGCCAGCCAGGCCCTCCATGGCCGCCGCCAACTCCAACACCCGTTTGGTCGCCACCGCTGCTGCTGCCTTGCGCCCCCGGAGGCCGCGTTCGCCAGCGCTTCAAACGTGGGCCCTCGCAGCCCATTCAACAGGGCGCCGTCGCCGCCGCGCCCAAGCAGCTGTGCGGCCCGGGGAGGGCGGAGAGGCGGAGGTGGCCGACTGCCGTCCGGGGCACGTCCGCGACCCAGCGCCGGCAGGGAGGAGGACGGTCAGGGCCGCCCCCAAGGCCCCAGGCGCGGGCCCTGGGCCGAGGGGACCTCCATGGCGGCCTCTGTCCCGGGCCTCAGGCGGGACCCCTCCTTCCTGCGGGCTGCGACAGGCGCGTGCCCGAGCTACGGGTCGCCGGTGAGGTCCCAAGAGGGCCGCGCGCGGCCCGAATGGCGAATGATGGGCGCGTCTCACCCGATCCGGCCCGCAGGGCCTAAGTCCTGAAACTGCCTCCGCCTCCGCTCTCCGACCTCCCTAGCAGAAGGAAACCCGCAGGCCCTCGCCCACCGGAGCTCAGAAGTGCCAGACGCTGTTGATGGCTTCGAGGTCCACGCCTGTAGGGGTTGGGAAGGTGGGCCGGAGCAATGCGGAACGCTCCCACGGCAGCAGCCCCCGACCTCGGGGCGGGGAGGAAGGCGAGCCTCCGCAGGCAGGGCCGGGGAGAGGGGAGGGTGCGAGCGGGAGAGATGGTTAAGTGAGGTGTCTCTTCTAAAGCCGACCGGCCAGAAACCGAGACCTTCGTGAAGAAAGGTTCTGCTGCGCAAAACTGCCCATCCCCAATTCGGGCCTGGATGTCCTCAATGCCCTTGACGTCTGGAGCCTCCCCCTCGCCCCACACGGCCCTGGGGGTCCCAAGCCAGGGATGGGGACAGAGTGAGGGCACTGAACCGTTGCTATCGGTGGGCTTGGAGGCCGTCCCCATTTCACCATAGACGGTGGGGTGACTTCCCCCTCGGCCCCTGATTGCGGGCCCAGGGAGGGGGTTTTGTGCACCAGCAGGGTCCGTAGTTGGAAAAGGGAGGCTTCTCTGAACCCCGGAATTGTGGGGTGACTGAGGGCCACCGCACAAGGCTCTGAGAACAGACTGGAACCCCGACCTGTCCTCCCTGGAGAGCGGAATTAAGTGTGTGAGAAAGGTCTGGGTAGAAGGGGAACTGCTCCAGGTGGGAAGGGGCAAGGTGTCCTGGGAAGGAAGGTGATGTCTGTATTCAGACACAGGAGGACTAATCCTGAGCCTGACAAAACCTCCATTTACTCCATACCTCAGAAGATTGTTAGGATTTGAAAAGATCATTCATCCAACGAATGCTATGCTAGAAATCTACTATGTGCCAGGCTCTGCTTGGCGCCGGGGATTCAGTGATAGACCAGCAAGTGCCTTCCCTTCAGGGGCTTGCATTGTCGGGAAAACAAACAATAAACAAGTAAACAAATGACGGATAAGATTAGTGGTATTATTGTTACCAGCCAACCCAGCAGCACCCCCACCGCTGAGAAACTTTTAAGTGTTCTTTCCTGTAGAAATGTTAAGTATGGAAATGTTAGGTCTCCTCCCTAGTTTCTTAGTTTCTTAGCCCTTGGCTTTGATTACTCTTCTCATCAGTCTGTGAATCCTAGGCTAAAGATTGCTCCTAGCCTGAATCCTAGAATTCATCTATCCCCCTGCTTCTTGATTGCTTTGTAAATCAGTTTCTGAATCCTAAACAATGTCTCCCACCCCTGCTTCAGATAACTACTTGAAAGCCTGTGACTTTCTAATATCCCCCAAGCCAGTAACCTAAATGCCAAACCCATTCTGGGCCCAGACAACTGATGCCACCTGAGTAACAGGCTGAATGGCCATAGGCTTCATGAGAGCTAACAAGTTTATTAATTAAAATCTATTTTTTCTCATTCAGGGACCTTGGGGATACAGAGGATACCCCAACAAGATTGCCAGTCACAACCAAAGAAGCCAACACTGTCTTCCAGGCAGAGCTCAAGACCTCTTCCTCTCATCTGAGATCACCTAGGGTGAGAGTTCTGTGAATCCCCCAATAGGCAGGGACAGCTCTACACCCCTGCCCAGCAGGAAGCAGATACAGAAGAAGAGACCTCCTGTCCCTCAATTTCCCATAGAGGTTTAAATGGGGATCACGTCTCTCAAGGGGAAAACTAGGCAGGCAGTTAGAGGCAGGCATTGAATCTCTGCATTCCTGCACATCCCACAGAGTGCGACTAGACCACCAAGGGGACATCCCCTCTACACTGAAAACTCCCCTTTGTATTATAATTACCTACCCCTGCGGGAAAACAAATGGGCACAAAATACCCAACTGGATCAGACCAGTCACTCGCACCTGTGCAGTACCTGTCAATCACAGGTGCCAACCAAGTGGTCCCGCCCATAGTGGAACAACCCATTCTAGAGAAAGGGGATAAAAACTCCAAGTCCTGGGAAGTCCGCCCCTTTTTTGGTTGCCTTGCTCTTTTTGACCACCTCTTCCCTTTTTTAGCCTTTTGAGCCTCCCCTTTGCGTGTGGCCGCTCCAAACTCTTTGGAATGTAATTTCTCTTCTAATAATGGGCCCTTGAGTCATTCTCTACTGCTTGGGCCCACTTCTACTTCTTTGAAATGTACTATCTCTTCAAATAAACTACTTTTTCAGCACTTTACTCCAGCATCTCGTTCAATTCTTTGCTCGAGTTGCCAAGGACCTGGACTTTGCGCCGAGAAGGGCCCACTTTCCGCCAACATTACTATTTGCTATGAAGCAAATGAAATGGAGTGATAGGGAGGCGGATTAATTTAGTGTGGGTGGTCAGTCAAGACTTCCATGACAGGTAACAAGAACAGAGGATATTCTAGGCAGAGGGAATAGCTAGTCCAAAAGCCCTAAGGAGGGAACAGCCTTGATGATCTTAGAAACAAAGGTCAGCATGGCTGCAGCAAAGGGGGCCATAGGAGATGAAGTGAACGGGGTACAGGACATGCTAGGGCCTAATAATCCATGGTAAAGTTGTTAGATTCTACCCTTAAAAGTGTGATGGGGGCATTTTAAGAGTTTTAAACAGGAGAGTGACAAGATATAATTTATGTTTTTAAAAAGATCACTGGCTGCTGTGTGAAGAATAAACTCTAGAAGGCAAGAGTGCAAGCAGGAAGGCCATTAAAGAGAAAAGGTGTTGGACTAGGATTGTAGGAATGGCGCTGATGGAGCTGCTGGGGCAGTCACAAAAAGTACAAGCTCAATATGGAAGTCACCTCCTCCCCCACACACCTCCACCCTTTCACCACCACTCCCACCCAAAGGATAATATCCACCATAGAGAAAGAACAAATGCATGTATTTGACCGCCAGGGGCCAGGTTAGGCTCAACAGATTTACATAAATTATTTTATTTGAACCCCACTACTTCCAATCCTAGTTAGTGAAAGCCCCACCAGCCATTGGTGGGAGTTTGGGTCACTTCTCAAATTCTCTGTTCCATTCTGCAACATGACTTGACCTATTTGCAGATCCCTACACAAACATTATCCCCATCCCCTTACCATATTAAAAACAACATTGGAAATGAGAGCTGAAGATGAGTTTCTACTGGTAGAGTGTCTGAAATAGCTCGTGGAAAAGAGGCGGAAGCTGGTTGGTTTCATTCTAGGGCTTCAGAGTTAGAAAGAAATCCACTTCTGGTCAGGCTGACCCAGGTTTGTGTTTGTTTTTGTTTTGCCTCTGGGGACTTGGCAGTGATACATTCGGATGTGTAACTTGGGAGCTCTCTTCCAATTGAATTCCTATCCTGGCTATGTAGAGCAACCAGGCCTTCTCCTCCTTCATTTCCCCTCCCCTCCCCTCCCTTCTTCTTCTTCTTCCTCTTCCTCTTCCTCTTCCTCTTTCTCTCTCTCTCTCTCTCTCTCTCTCTCTCTCTCTCTCTCTCTCTCCTCTCTCTCATTCCCTCTCTCTCTCTCTCTTTCTCCCTCCCCATCCCCCTTCTCATAGCCCTTGCCCTGCATCATTCTTTTTCCATCTGACTTTTTGAAGAAGGTGATCTAGCCACAAACCCCTTCCTCCCTTCAGTTTTGTTTTCTAAAGGAAACCCAATTCATCCAGCTATTCATTGCTGAATAAGAGATTCCCTTCTTCCTCCTCTTGCCCTTTTTAGATAACCTAGGGTTCATCCTAGTGCTGACACCCCAATTCAGTGGTGTGACTGGGTGGGTGCTAGGAGGGGTGATTGGACCAAGAGTCATGCTAGAAAAGGGCCCAGAACTTATACTGCATGGCCTCCTCCCCCAGATTGGAATACACTTCTGCTCCAGCAGCCGAAGGTCAGGAGCCTTGAGCTGCTCTTTTCTTCAACAGTTATCACAGTTGCCTAGTATAGGGTTATGGAATCCCTTGGTTGCTCAATAGCCATTGGCTGACTGGAGACTGTTTGCTTGCCTCTATTTACCTGGGCTTGGCGGTGACTTGTCTGTAGTTGGGTTGTGCAAACCTGAGGAGACAATGTGTAAACAGGATAAGGCTGCTTTCCCCAAGGCCAAAGCCCAGAAATAGTTCCTTGTCCTTCTGACCTATTCCCCTTGACAGAAAGCCTCTGAGCAAATGAACAATAGTAAAATATAACTGCAGGTAGTTATATTGTGATGGGGATTGATTTGCTGATAACAAAAAACTGCAACCTTCTACCTGGATCAAAGACAGGACCAACCTCCAAGCGCTTTGCTTCCCAGGGGTTGGGAGGTCCAGCAGGATGAGCTGTACCTTCCATGGAGCTCTCCTTTTTCCAAACCAGGCAAGCCCAGCCTTACAGCTCTGAGTCAGTGGGGTTTCTCAGGTTTATACAAAGTGCATGCAAGATGTCGTTTTGGAGCACCAGTAAAGATATTTGTTTTACTCCTATAAACCTCCCAATACTTTAATGGAAGAGGTTGACCCCTGGTGTTGAACAGATTGGGGTTGGACTCCCTTCTCTATGGGCTAGCTGTGGCCTTGGGCAAGTTCCTTAATCTGTACAATGGAGTTAATACATACTTTCATTATTCATCCTAGAGATCTTCTTTGATTTTGCCCTGAACTCTCTACCACTTTACACCTCTCATGGGACCCTTACCTCTTTCTAATATTAACTAATGTCTGTACAGCACTTTATAGTCTACAAAACACTTTCGGATCCACCTATTCCAGCCCCCTCCTCCTAAGTGTCTTAACCACCCTTCTAACTGGGGAGGCACGGAGCATGGTGGCTCAGCACCCAAGCTCTGGAATCCCCTCTGCCAGCATTCCAGGTACATCGCTCGCTTGTTAGCTGCGTGACTGACTCAGGACAAGTTGCTTATTTAATTTCACATCTGTCTCATTTGTGAAATAGGGATAATAATAGTGCCTCTCCAACCTGGTTGCTGTGAGGGTTGAATGAGATGCACACACACACACACACACACACACACACACACACACAGAGCAAGCAACTCAGTAAGTCTTGGCTGTTATCATTATCTCATTAGATCTCGCCCCAAACCCTGTGGGAATAAACAAAGCAAATCAGTTCTGTCATCAGTAAAAATGAGTTTAAACCTGATAACCTCTAAGCTTTCTTCCAGCTCCATCAATCAGGCTCTAATTCTACCGTGAGTCACAGTTATTTATGGGCACATCTTGGCTTTTCTAGGCT